TCATTGTTCTTTGGCGGCCGGGCTGGATTTGAACCCACCACTTTAGGTGTATGTGGCTGGCGCTTTAGCCACTTGAGCCACAGGCGCCGAGCCTAGCAGTGAGGATTCAAACTCAGGCAGCCTGACTCTAAACTACCACTACACCTAATTAGATATGATCTGACACCTGTTGTATACAAAGGGCTATAGGGGCTAGATCTGCAGACAGTGGGGGCAGGGATCAAAGGGGAGATGGTATCTGAGCTGGGAAGAATTAATTTACTAGACTTATAGGAAGGGCTAACAGTATGTGCAAAGGCCCAAAAGCTTGAAAATGCACTCAAGGTCCACATCAGGAATAAACTGCCCAGTGTGGCTGGAGCCTGGTCAGGACCGCAGGAAGGGAGGCAGTGGAAGGAATTCGGATTTGATTCTAGAAGCAATGGGGCGCCTTGAAGGACTTTGGGCAGGGGAGTGGCAAGGACAGATTTTATCTCGGCTAGAGCATACTAACCGCCCTCTCTTGAGCACACTGAAGAGGATGAAGGCAGGGATGCTAGACGGTGGCAGGGATGCCAGGTGAAGAGAGTGTGATCAAAATCACCTTCGTAGTTGTATGCCTCCACCCTCCCCTACCGTCGCCAGTGCCCAGCGCCTAGTGAGCTCTGGGAAGAAGAGACAAGTCGAAGGTCAGTCAGTAGAAACAATGCTGCCAGGCAGGGGTGGACACGCTCCTCCTCCCCCAGCCCAGTCGCCTGCAGAAGGTGGTCCCAAGATCCAAAGGTTCCAGAAAGGGATGGCGGGGAAGTGAAGGAGCGTCAACCCTCTGCCTAGTTCTAGCTTCCTGCCGCACCCTCTCCCTACCCGCCGTCCCGGGTCCCCTTAGTCAGGCCAAGAGCTTTGCAAGGTTTACATTTATTCCTTCCAGACACAGACCCAGAAGGGGCCGCGCCTCCCTGGAGAGGCGGGAACAGACTCCTGGGCGGAGCCGCCCACGCTCAAGGGACGCGCGATCTCGGTGGAGGCGACGGCCCACTATTACTGCACACCCTCCATCATCTTCAGGAACTCTACAGGGAAAGGCAGGAGGAGAGAATCAGCGGCCGCTCTTAGGACGCAGGGCCCATTCATTAACTGATAAATCGCACAAGCTGCCGGGAGCTCCCTACCGCCCGTGGGAGACGTAGGGAGGAAGTAGGTGGAGAGGAACTTGAGCAGGCTACGCCCAGTCCCACCCGCAAGACCAAGGCCACAGCGTGGGAGCCAGCCAGCCGCACAGGTGCCGCGCCCCCGACGCTGGGCGGGGCTCCAGCTCCCTCCTCCCCAGCTCCCGCGGCCCTCACCGTCAAAGTCAATGCGGCCGTCGTTGTTCTTGTCTCCGTCTTTCATCAGAGATTCGATCTCCTCGTCCGTCACGTGCTCCCCAGAAGCCCGGAAAATCTCAGCCAGCTCCTCGGCATCGATGTAGCCGTCTGCATTCCTTCGGGCCGAAGTAAAGGGCAGGGCAGGGCAGGGCTCAGGGCCCAGGCCAGCTGCCCTGGCCACAGTTGACCGCCCCTCCCACACGCCCAGCCCGGGAACCTCCACCACCTCCGGTCCGCCTGGCTCGGACTGCTCGGCCCCTTCCTCGGCTCCCAGGCCCCCAACATACTTGTCGAAGATGCGAAAACACTCGGCCAGCTCCTCCTCGCTCTTCCCCTTGGCGTCCTCTTTCATCTGGCGCACCATCATGACCAAGAACTCCTCGAAGTCGATGGTGCCGCTGCCTGGCGGGCGCAGGCGGGTGAGCCCGAGCCCAGGACGCCTTCTCCCCCTGCCACCCCTGGCCTGGGAAGGCCTCCCGCTCACCGTCCTCATCCACCTCCTCGATGATGGCGTCCAGCTCCTCTTTGGTGGGCGTCTGGCCCAGCATCCTCATCACGGTGCCCAACTCCTTGACGCTGATGTCGCCACCACCATCAGCGTCAAACATGTCAAACGCAGCCTTGAACTCTGCCAGGGTGCAGGAGGAGAGTAGAGGGCTGAGGTGACGCCGGTGACCAGTCAGCCTCACACCTGCTCTGCCGCCCTTCTCACACACACCCCAGCCTGCCCCGGCCTCACGCACCAGCGATCATCTCCTCGCTGAGGTAGGACCGGGCCTCAACCTGCTGGTCAGTCTGTGTCGGCTGCAGGAGACACACAGAGAGTCAGAGCTCATGGGGTAGCCCTGGAGTTAATTCTCACCTTATCCCCATTCTCCTCAACCCCACTTTTGTAAGTGTCCGTTCCTCCAGAAGAACAGCTCCAAACTTACAAGGCACCCACCCCCCAGTTTGGGGAACAAAAGAGGAAACACAAATTATGCCCAAGGACTTACCACTTGGAGGGCAAGTCAGGAACCCCCCAGTGACACTGGGCAAGTCACTTAGCATGCTTGGCGGGGACCATTCTTGCATGATTTTCCAGTTTTCCCTAGCTCCTGGTGGTGTCTGGCACTTTAATAGTTGTTCAATAAATGGTTGTTTGCAAGTAAATAATAATTCAATGTAAAGTTACGGAGCACCTGCTAAGTGTCAGGCCATGGACCAGATGCTGGGACCACCAAGCAGAGATGGAGACATCAACCCTCCCCACAGAGACTTTGCATAAATGGAGATTTTAAGCTTCCTTCTATGATTCCATCACTGGAGTAAAGACCTCTCATGCTGAATAGGATGTGATGGAGACCAGTAAGATATCTGTAGGGGTTTCCAGGTCACATCCAAGCCAGGCCATCTAGGTCAACAACTTTAGACAGAGGCTGGCAGAGAGGAAGGGGTGAGACATCCAAGGAGTTCTTCAGCTGACCGGCTCCTGGCCCTTCCTTCTCCCCCTCCCTCCTCCCTTCCTTTTTCTCCAAGCCAGGAGGGCAGGCTATTTTTAGCCAGGCATGGACAACAGCAGCTGGCCTCCAGGGTCTAATTACTCCTTGAAGTAAAGTAGGGAGGGGGATCTCAAAAGAAAATGACAGCCTCACATCAGATCCCTCTCTGAGAGGCTGGGGCCTCTAACTCTAGTCTGTCATCTTCTGCCCCTTCCCATCACTCTCTGGCTCTTGGAGACCTGCACCTGAGCTGGCCTCAGAAACTGCAGCCTCCCACCTTCTAGAGGAGACTTAGTTCTCTCAGTGACAGCAGGAAGGTTTGGCTGGGCTTCTAGCCCATGCCTGCCACTGGCCCGTGGGGTAACTCACTCTCCTCACAGTCCCCATTTCTACTATGAAGGAAACAAGCTAAGAGCCTCTCACAGCTCTATGAATGGCATTGCTGGAAGGCTCAGAAGGTGGGTGGGAAGTCCTCAAGCCTTGAGGTTCAATCTCTGAAACACACCAGCCCTCCCCTTGCAAGAGAAGTTAAAGGCTGTCTTCCTCAGCCTCCGCCAAGACACCTGGGTTCCAGGAACCTTCATGTTCCAATTTCAAGCATCCAGATCACTGCCCTACAGAGCACCCAGGTCTGCTTTGAAAGAAGCCCAGAATACACTAGCTTCTTGTCCCTTCTTGTCCTTACCATGGTTGCTGGTCACTGGGACTCCTCTGCTGTGGACTACCTCCTCTGCCCTCCAGCATCCAAAGATGCCCTTACCCACCCCAGCCCCCAGGATTTATGGGGGCATCCTCTCCTCCCACCTCCCTGCTCCCCAGCACTGGATACCCTGCCCAATCAGATCCTGGGGTCAGTGGGCCCCACCTCTCCCAGAATCCTAGCCCATTACCTAATTTAGCCAAGTGCCCTTGCAGAGAAATTTAAACCTCTGAGCAGGTGGCAGGACTTGACATTCTAGAGTCTTATGAAGAGGGCCCGCCCTGCCCTACCACCATAGAAAGCACCCCCTGCCAGGAAGCACACTGGTTCCAAGATGGGTAAGGACAATCAGAATAGTGAAAAGTGAGGCAGCATGGTGGAATGGGAAGAGCCAGGATCCAGGGCCTGCCTCAGATGGTGATGCTGCTCAGAGCCTCGTTTCCCCCTGTGTGAGATGCACCTCTTAGGGGGTGGTGTCTTTTTTTATGATAAATAAAAGCCCAGCATAAGTCATCTATCTTGTGCCAGGTTCATAGCATTGGTGCTTGGCACGTGGAATGTCCTTTCTTTGAACCATGATAAGGAGCAAGGGGCGGAAGTGGGAAGAAGTGATAGCTAGGCTACCATTTATTGAACCTCTACAAAGTGCCATGTACTGTGCTAAGCATTTTAACCACATGATCACATCTAGTCCTCATCCTATGAGAAAGCAACTATTATTACCTCCCTTGGACTGCAGAGCTTTGTAAATCAGAAAGGTGATTTATAGTCATGTTGGTGACTTTTTTTTTTTGAGACAGAGTCTCACTATGTCACCCTAAGGAGAGTGCCGTGGCATCATATCTCACAGCAACCTCAAACTCTTGGGCTCAAGTGATTCTCTTGCCTCAGCCTCCTGAGTAGCCGGGACTACAAGTGCCCCCCACAATGCCCGGCTATTTTTTAGAGACGGGGTGTCGCTCTCACTCAGGCTGGTCTCCAACTCCTGAGCTCAAGCAATCCGCTCACCTCAGCCTCCCAGAGTACTAGGATTACAGGCGTAAGCCACCCTACCGGACCCCCATGTTGGTGATTTTTTTATTATGAATCCCAACTGGGGGAAAGTTGAGACAGACAGTCCATGGGGGAACCTGCCCAGAAAGAGAACCAAATGGATGGATGGAAGACAGAGGGGTGTGCATTTTGGGGAGAAATAGTCATTGAAATCAAAGATTCTTTTCTCAGAGTTGTCTTCTCCAGGGAAGGGGTGTTTGGGATTCATTTGGGGGTAGAGGAGTGGGCAGGGGAAGGTTTTTTGTTTTGGGGGGGGGTTGAGACAGAGTCTCACATGTGGCCCTCCGTAGAGTGCTACGGCGTCACAGCTCACAGCTCTTGGGCTTAGTGGTAGGGCCCAATTCTCTTGTCTTAGCCTCCCAAGTAGCTTGGACTACAGCCACAGGGGAAGGTCCTTTAAGTGGCAAAGGGGTGGACATCCCCTTCCTGGATAGATCTCAGTGAGAAAATCTGAAGAAGATAAGCGGGTGGTCTAAAAGGTAGTGTTGGGCAGACCAAGCCTATCCTGAGAATCCACCAGGTCCAGGGTGGGTGCTGGGGAGGAGGCAGGGCTCATGGATGGTAGCTAAGTGACAGAAAGAGCACCAAGACAACTGAGAACAGAATCTGGGGCCAGGAAAGGGGGACTGGACATCAAGGAAGGCAGATGGACAGTGGCAACTGGGCTGCTCCCTTCTCCTATATATAGACATTCCCAAGGAAAACTCGGCAGGGCCAGGCCAGGCTAAGTAAGGCCTACCAGTCCAGGCAGAAGGCCAAGGGGCGATACACGAGGGTTCCAATTTAGACACAAACACTGGAACCAGGCTCAGCGCCCATATCACAGTGGTTATGGCGCCAGCCACACAATGTACACCGAGGATGGCGGGTTCAAACCCAGCCTGGGACAGCTAAACAACAACTGCAACAAAAAATAGCCAGTGTTGTGGTGGGCACCTATAGTCCCAGCTACTTGGGAGGCTGAGGCAAAAGAATTGCTTAAGCCAGAGAGTTGGAGGTCACTGTGAGCTGTGACACCAGGGCACTCTACGGAGGGTGGCATAGTGAGACTCAGTCTCAAAACAAACAAACAAAAACACACTGGAACCACTTGATCCCTTTGGAATAGAGGATGTGGAACCCTCAGCCATCCCTTGTTCATTCATTTGTTCTTTTGTTTATTTAAGGAAATAGACAAGGTCCAAACTCCTTAGGGTGTCCAAGCAAAGTCCCACCAGCCCTTTCAATCTCAATAAATACTATATTCTAAGTAAGAATAACTGAACTGAATTGCATTTTGTTCAACATAAGGAGGAACTTTCTAATAGTCACAGTTGAACAATAATGGGAACAAGTGGCCTCGTTACTGGTAATAAGCTCCCTGTCACTGAGTATATACAAGCAGGAGACAGATGACCATCTTTCAGGTAGGCCATAGGGAAATATCTATACGGAGTTCGAGTGGCGAAGATTACAAGACATCAAGGGATCTGGCTGTATTTGTGTGACCCAGCATAAGTCCCTTCCCCTCACTAAGCCTCAGACATCTATCTGCAAAATGAAAGTGATAGATCAGATTTCTGACCCTGACAATCCATGGTTTTATTTATTTATTTATTTATTTATTTTTTTTTTGAGACAGAGCCTCAAGCTGTCCCCCCTGGGTAGAGTGCCATGGCATTACAGCTCACAGCAACCTCCAACTCCTGGGCTCAA